AGCAGCCACTGGAGCCTTCGGTGGAGCTCCCTATGGGGCCACGAAACGCTGCCCTGGGCACGGGAACCGCATGCGAGAGCAGCCACTGGGGCCTTCGGTGGAGCTCCCTATGGGGCCACGATACGCTTCCCTGGGTGGGGGAACCGCATGCGAGAGCAGCCACTGGGGCCTCCGTTCGAGCTCCCTATGGGGCCACGAAACGCTGCCCTCGGTGGGGGAACCGCATGCGAGAGCAACCACTGGGGCCTTCAGTGGAGCTCCCTATGGGGCTACGAAACGTGTGAGGGGTGTGCCGAGAGCAGGGGCAAGGAGGGGGAGGAGGGAGGAGGGAAGGGGCAGCGGGAGGAGGAGACGCGGGGCACCGTCTCTTCAAAACGAAGACCAGACACCACAGGATGGATGGGAACAAATGATAGAACCAGGCGGACAGATAGGGTGTGCAAACACATAACGGGCAGGTCGGGCAGGCGGGCCCAGGCGACCAGGTCGAGCAAACGGGTTACGGAATCGTGGGTCCTGCATGAATCGCGAGGACGTCTCGAGCGACATCGCGAATCCCAAGTAAATGATGAGAAAAGCAAAAGCGAGAGCGTGATTCCTGAGCGCCGATGGCGCATCGTCTGAATAAGCTGCGAGGAAGTCCCACGCGAGAGCCCGATTCGTGTACAAATTGTGAGGAAGTCACACGCGAGAGCGCGATTTCGGAATAAAGTATGAAGAAGTATCAGGAGGGAGCCATTGTTGCTGTAAACTGGGGGCCAACAAAACAGGTTGACCCCCGTGACTTTCCCTCATCCAAAAAACCCGGTGCGAGCTCCGGGGGAAGCACTTCAATTGAAAAATACAATGGTCACCGGAAGGGGGGGGATCAACACTGAATATTCTTCAGGAATGAGAATTGAACAACAACAACAACAACAACAACAACAACAACAACAACAACAACAGCAACAGCAACAGCAACAGCAACAGCAACAGCAACAGCAACAGCAACAGCAACAGCAACAGCAACAGCAACAGCAACAGCAACGACGACGACAACGACGACGACGACGACGTTATCCCCCCCGAGAGGCCTGCGGCGCTGGTGCGCACCGCGCGGGCGCCGCCGCTGCCGCGGGCGCCGGCGCCGCCGCTGCCGCGCAGGGCGCGCGGGCCTCGCCCGGGCCGGCCCTGCCGGTGCCTCGGCCCGGCCCGGGCCCTGCAGGGGCCGCGCCTCGGCTACGTGGCCAGATGCGAACACCACCCCCAGCCCCCACGATTGCTGAGGGGGAGGGGGAGCGGAGTGAGCCCCACCCTCCCCCTCAGAAATCCTGGGGGCTAGGGATAGGGTTCGCATGTGGCCCCCCATCGGTGCGGTGCCGCCGCCGCTACCGGCGGCAGCGACGGCGACGGCGGCCGACGACGACGACAACGACGACAACGGCGGCGACGACGACGACGGCGGCGACGACGACTGCGGCGAAGACGACGACGATGACGACGACGACGACGTCGACAACGACGGCGGCGGCTCCTGCGACGCCGATGACGGCGGCGGCGGCGGAGAGAGGAGGGAGGGACAGAGGGAGAAAGGGAGGGAGGGAGGAGGGGGAAGAGGAGCGAGGAGCAGCGAGGAGGAGGGAGGAGGAGGGAGGGTCGGGGACGACGTCGCGCTCTTCTCTGCCGCGAGGCGATCCAGGCTGCTCCTCGAGGGCCCTCGCCGAGGACAAAAAAAACGCACGTCGTAACGATGCCACGTGGCCCTGAGATCTGCCCTGAGATCCGTCCAGGGCCCTGGACCCCATCCTTATGCATCGTTTTTCGAGCCAGATCGATATGTCAAGGCCCGGTGCCCAAAGAAAGGCGAAGACGCCCGGCTCGAACAAAAAAACAGGATGCCAGGATCTCAGGGACCCTCGGGGCACCATGGGGGGGTACTTCTGGCAACACCCGACAGCAGGGGGGTGTCGTCGTCGTCGTTGGTCGTCGTTGTCGCCGGCCTGTCGTGGTCGTGGTCGTCGGTCGTCGTGGCCGTTGTCTTCGGTCGTCGTAGTCGTCGTCGGTCGGTCGTGGTCGTGGTCGGGGTCGTGGTCGTGGTCGTCGTCAGTCGTCGTCTGTCGTCGTCGTGGTCGTGGTTATCGTCGTCGGTCGTCGTCGTCGTCGATCATGGTCGCGGTCGGTCGCGATCATCGGTCGTCGACGTCGGGACCCAGCAGCCAAAAGCACATCAGGACGGTAAGGTTCTTCACATTATCGGCCTACCTAGCTTTGCCATCATCATCCTCATAATTATCGACGTCAACGTCAGCACTCATCATCGTCATCATCGCCATCACGACAATCATCATCATCAGCAGTATCATCAGCATCATCGTCATCATCACCATCATCACCATCATCAACAACAACCTCATCATCATCATCATCATCATCATCATCATCATCATCATCATCATCAACATCACCATCACCATCATCATCAGCATTAGCATCAGCATCATCATCAGCATCATCAGCAGCATGATCAGCATCATCAGCATCAGCATCAGCATCATTATCATCGTCATCAGCATCAGCAGCAGCATCATCATCAGCATTATCATCATCATCATCGTCAGCATCATCGTCATCATCATCATCATGATCAGTATCATCATCACCATCATCATCAGCAGCATCATCAGCATCAGCAGCATCGCACTCCAACTACAGAAAGTGCTGAAGAGAAATGTTGGCTTGCCTGGTTCGCTCCGCTGCTTTTTTCGGCCGCGCTGCTGCGCCTTCGAGGCGTCGGAATCGGGGTCCTGCAATGGCGGCCGCTCAATGTGGAGTGTGCGGTGGCCGTTTCTCCAGCGGCCCCTCGCTGATTCTCCTCCTGTCCTTCTCTGCAGCTGGCATGGCGCAGTGAGACCGCGCCGCTCCCTGGCTGCCTCTCACCCAGCGGATGCCTTCGTAACGCCGGGCTGGCACATGGTGCTCACGCCCGGCGACGGCAGCGCGGCCAGAAAGCAGCGAAGCACATCATCATCATCATCATCATCATCATCATCATCATCATCATCATCATCATCATCATCAGCATCATCATCATCATCGTCATCGTCATCGTCATCATCATCATCAACATCATCATCATCGTCATCATCATCATCACCACCACCACCACCATCATCATCATAATCATAATCATAATCATCATCATCATCATCATCATCACCATCATCATCATCATCAGCATCATCAGCAACAGCAGCACCATCATCATAATCATCAGCATCATTATCATCATCATCATCATCCTCAGCATCATCATTATCATCATCATCATCCTGAGCAGCATAATCATCAGCATCAGCATCATCATCGTCATCATCATCATCATCATCCTCAGCATCATCATCAGAAGCGTCATCCTCAGCATCACCATCACCATCCTCATCATCGTCATCAGCAGCAGCATCATCATCATTACCATCATCATCATCACCATCGTCATCCTTAGCATCATCATCAGCAGCGTCATCATCATAATCCTGTTCAGCTCCCAATTGTTCCACAATTGTTGTTGTTTCCAACAATCCTGTGGTGTTGGGTTCTGGTTTCAAAGAGACAGCGCCCCGCCTTCCTTCCTCCTCCTCCTCTCCTCCTCCTCCCCCTTCTCATCATCATCATCAGCATCATCAGCATCATCAGCATCAGCATCACCATCAGCATCATCATCACCATCAGCATCATCATAAGCATCATCATCACCACAACCACCACCAGCATCATCAGCAGCAGCATCCTCAGCATCAGCATCAGCATCACCATCATCATCATCAGCAGCAGCATCATCATCATCGCACCCCCTGGAAGAGAAAGTGCTGGGCCCGGCGTCCCCACACCCTGCCCCCGCACGCACATGACAGCCTCCAGAGACCTCCGGTCAAAAAACTGAGGACGCCTCACTCGGACTTCCGACTCGGGGACCTGCGGACCCGGGTCAATCCAGACCCGGGTCAGTCAGGCCTTGCAGAGTCCTGCAAGATCCTGCAAAATCCTGCACCCAAACCCGGGTCAATGCGAAGGATCCTGCAGGATCCTGCAGGATCCTGCACCCAAACCCGGGTCAATGCGACCCTGGCCCTGCAGGATCCTGCAAGGTCGGGGCGCTCTGGCTGACCCCCGTTTGCACTGACCCCCGTCTCGAGGCTCCCGACCGACACCCTGCGCCAACCTCCCAGGCCAGACGCCATGCTTAGAGGCCTTCCGCCAGAGGGCCCGCCGCCATGCTCAGAGGCCTCCTAGATGGGGTCCGCCGAGTAGACGGGATCGAAGGATCGCGCCGCATCGGCGACGTCGGCGATGCACCCGCGATGATGGCGTGGGGACAATCGGGCTCCACATCGAGCCGCATCGTCGATGCATCGGCGATGCGGCGCGACCATCCGACCCCATCTACTCGGACCCCATCTGTCGGGCGTTGGCAGAACTGGGTTTAGTGGGACTTTGTTTAGTAATGTGTACTTGGGGGCGCCTCCCCCGCCCCGTTCCACTAACCGGAACAACCGTCACCCGAAAAACACCAGCTACGGCAGACCTGGTTTAGTGATTCTGGCCAATTTAGAAGCTGTGGGGCCCTACCAGTAACCGGCCCCCCTTACCTGGGGTCCTGGCTATACCCGAATCTGGTAGGCCCAGAGCCTCCCGCTGGCTTCCGCCAGAGGGCCCGCCGCCATGTCACTGGCGCTGGCTTCCGCCCGCCCTCCGCCGGCCTTCCGCCGAGGACGAGACGAGCGCCGACGGCGACGCCCCTCCTGGAGCGCCCTGGATGTCTCGGGCATCGGCGCCTGCGCCGTCGAAGCAGTGCCCCTGCTCGAACGGCTCGTCCGCCCACAGCGTCAGCCGAGACCTCCGGGCTGTCGTCGGGAGGTAGACGTCTCCATCATCCTCGCTCCTCCGCCCTCCTCTACTCCCTCTAAACTCCTCCACACTCATCCTCCCTCCTCCGCCCTCCTCTACTCCCTCCACACTCCTCCACACTCATCCACACTCATCCTCCTCCTGCTCCTCCTCCACCCCTCCTCCTCCTCCTCCTCCACCACCCCCTCCTCCTCCTCCTCCTCCTCCTCCTCGTTCTCCTCCTCCTCATCCTCCTCGTTCTCCTCCTCCTCCTTCTCCTCCTCCCTCTCTGCCCAGACCTGCCCCCCTGCTCCCTCTCCTCCTCCACCTCCTCCTCTCCTCGCCATCCTCTGCAGCATCCCCGTCTCCACCCCCCCTGGCGGGGGGGGCGCGCCGAGGGAGGAGTAGATGTCGGAGGGAGGAGGAAGAATGAGGAGGGACAAGAGGGGGAGGAGATAAAGGAGGCAGAGGAGAAAGAGAGAGAGAGAGAGATAGGAAGAGAGAAAGAGAGGCCGATTGACTGAGAGAGAGAGAGAGGGAGACGGACAGAGAGACAGCAAGACAGACAGAGAGACAGAAGGACAGGCGGAGAGAGAGGCAAAGAGAGAAAGAAAGAGGGAGATGAAGCGAGGAACGACGCAGACAGGCGGGAAAGGATGAGGAAGGGTGGAGGTGGGAGCGAGCAGAAAGAAGGTGATGATGATAGCCACGACAACGACATAGACAACGACGACGATGACGACGACGACTATGACGACGACCAAGACAACGACGACGACATTCGAACGACCGACCGACCGACGACCGACCGACGACATCGACGACAACTACTATGACGACCAAGACGATGACGAAGTCGACGACGACGACGAGACGAGATGGCGACGACGATGACAACGACGACGACATCGACATCGATATCGACGACCGACGACCGACGACCGACGACAAACCGACCGACCGACCGACTGACGTTGACCACTACGACGACGACGACGACAAGCCACGAAAGAGGGATGACAGACGACGGACGACTACGACGACGCGGAGGCCTCCGAGATCCCCAGAGGCCTCCGAGTGCCCCCCGAGCTCCCAAACGAGCCGAAACCGGTGAAGAATCTCCGAAAACCTCGACTCTCGACCATCGATCACGACGATGACGACGACGACAATGACGACGACAAGCCACGAATGAAGGATGACGGACGACGGACGACTACGGCGACGACGACGACGACGACGACGACGACGACCACGACCACGACCACGACCACAACCACGAAGACCACGACCACGACCACGACGACAGACGACGACGGACCAGTACGACGGAGGGAAGGACGGAGTGCGGGGAGGGGGGGGGAGAGGCAGGGAGGGAGAAGCGAGGAAGGACGAGGAGGGACGTGGGGGAGCGAAGAGGAGAAGCGATAAACTAAAGCGAAGAGGATCGAGGACGAGTGAGGACCCAAACATCGGATGTCCGGACTATCTCCTCAATGGCTCCCCGAAGTCTCCACCCGTTCCCCAGGCGGGGGGCTTTCGCCCTGGGTGTGGGGGGGTGGATGGGGGTGCGATGGCCCGCGTCGATCGGCAAGACAATGAATAAGAGAACGATCACGTGGGGCTTTTCGCCCCGAATCGTGTGTGGACAGCCCCTGAGCCCACAAACGGCCCCCAGAATCCGACAATCGATCGAAAACCATACGTAACACACATTTGGAAAACAAGAGCAATGCATAACTATGAACATGTGGAGGTCCGCGCGGAGTTCCTGGATCGGCGCTGGACCCCCTCCCTGGCGCGCCGAGCGCGCCAGAGGCGGCGCCAAAGGCGCCGACGGGGCACAACAGTAGAAAGAAGAAAAGAGACCCATGACACTCAGACATACTCGTGGAAAGGCAGGCGAAGGCGAGGAGGGAAAGCAGCAGGGATAAAGGGGCCGCCTGTTCAGGACGCACTCCCTCTCTCCCCATCGAGCACTTCCCTTGAATTGTTTGAATTGTGGCAGTCAAGGAGATCGCCCACGTTCTTGGGGGGATGAGGGGCTTGGTCCTTCTCCCACCGCCCACTGGGAAAGGAAGTCCCCCCGTGGGTCTGGACAACAAGACCCCGCGAGCGGCACAAGCCTCAGTAAGTATGGTGTCCCGATAGACTGCCCGCTCTTGCGGGGCCGCCCTAACAGGGCAGAAGGGGCACGAAACGTGCCCTGCCCGCTCTGGCGGGGCCTCCCTGGAAGCGTGAGAGGGCACAACAACGAAGAAATGAGATGGCATCCGAATGCCCTGCCCGCTCTGGCGGAGCTCCCCCGCAGGGGTCAGAGTTAGGTCGGGCATGTCCTCCTGCAGGCGGATTTTGAACGCAAAATGAAAGATGGTCGAACAAATATTCATAAATACTCAAGAATAATCGAAACATCGTCTCCAAGCTCCTTCTTGACTATTCTTTAATATCCCTCCAATAGATGGACACGCCCGGCTAAAAGGTAAGAGGGGCACGAAACGCTGTAAATAAAAATGGTGCCTTGCCGCTCTGGCGGGACCTCTTCCTGGAGAGGGCCTCCCTCGAGGGGTGCGAGGGCCACGAAACGGTGCGCAGAGACGATGGAATCCGAATGCCCTGCCCGCGCTGAAGTGGCCTCCACAGAGGGGCGTGAGGGGCACGAAACGCTGCATAGAGTGACGTACCCGAGTACCCTGCCAGCCAGGGATGCGAGGGACACGAAACAGTGTGCTCTGGCGGGGCCTCCCTGAAGGGGTGTGAGGGGCACGACGCGTTACAAATCGTAAGGGGTGCAGGGGGGCACGAAACTTTGGAAATACAATGGTATCGAATATCCGGCCCGCCCCTGGAAAGGTGTGAGGGGCACGAAAAGTTGCAAATAGCATGGTGTCTGAACACCCTGCCCGCTCTGGCGGGACCTCCCTGGCGGGGTGCGCGGGGGGGCACGGGAAGTCGCAAATTGTACCGTGTACGAATATCCTGCGCGCTCTGGCGAGGCCGCCTGGGAGGGGGGTGAACGGCACAAGAACGATGCAACTAGTACGATGTCCGAACGAACTCCCCGCCAGGGGTACGAAGGACGCGACAAATGGTAGATTGCATGGTGTTTGCTCTTTTCCGCGAGCACTCAAACCGTAAACTTGTCGGCAACGTAATGCCTCCAAAAAGTGCCCCCACAAGCTCAGGCGCCGCGCCTTATCTGGCAACGTAATGCCTCAACAAAGTGTTCTGGCAACGTAATGCCTCACTCATTGATGGTAGATAACACGGTATCCGAACACCCTGCCCGCGCTGGCGGGGCCTCCCCAGCAGTGTGCGAGGGGCACGAAGCGCTGCAAATAGTTTTGCACCCGAATGCCCAGTCCGCCAGGGGTGCGAGGGGCATGACGGAGAGCTATGAGTCACGTGGTGTCCGCATGTCCCGCCCGCTCTGGCGGGGCCTCCCTGGCGAGGTGTGCGGGGCACGCAGCGCTGGAAACTGCGCCCTGCCCTGGAGGGGCGCGAGGGGCGCGAAGTCGTGAATCATCCGAATACCACTCCCGCTCTGGCGGGCCCCCCCTCTGGGAGGGGTGTGAGGGGCACGGGACAAGGTTGCAAATGGTATGGTATCCGACCACACTGCCCGCTGTGGCGGGGTCTCCCTGGAGAGGCGGGGCACGAAACGCTGTAAACGATCTGGTCTCCGAATACCCCGCCCGCTCTGGCAGTGCTTCCCTGCAGGGGTGCGAGGGGCATGACACATTATGCGACATGGTATCCGGATGCCCTGCCCGCTCTGGCGGGGCCTCCCTACAAGGGGTGTGAGGAGCACGCAACGTTGCAAACTGCATGGTATCCGAATGCCCTGCCCGCTCTGGCGGGGCCTCCCGTGAAAAAAAAGTGAACGCCCCAAGGATCCGTTCCCGTTCCCGTTCCCGTTCCCGTTCCCGTTCCCGCTCCCGCTCCCGCTCCCGTCGTCGTCGTCGTCGTCGTCGTCGTCGTCGTCGTCGTCGTCGTCGTCGTCGTCGTCGTCGTCGTCCCGTCGTGGTCGTCGTGGTCGTGGTCGTCGTCGTCGTCGTCGTCGTCGTCGTCGTGGTCGTCGTCGTCGGCGTGGCCGTGGTCTCCGTCCACCCGGAAGGGGGGGCAAGAGGGAGGCTCCAGAAAGGCTGCGGACGCTTGGAGGCTTGTTGGGCTCTCCTGAGAGGCCTCTCGGGGGCCTCTTGGAAGCATGTTGCAGGTCTCTTGGGGCCCGTAGGGGTCTTCTTGGGGACGTCAGGGCGGAGGATTTCGGGGTCTCCTGGGAGTTCGTTGGCGGTCTCGGAAGGTCTCTCCCAGACGCCTACGGCGAATCACCGCCGCCCCTTGCCCTCTGGAAACGCGACGCGGCCAAGCGTTACGGCGAAGATTGGCCCAGGCGTTGGACCAGGTGTTCCCCCAGCCGTTGTTGAAATCCTTGGGGGAAACACTTGGGTGAGGAAGATGGGGGAAGAGCAGGATAAAGGGGGATGATGGTGATGATAACGAAGAGGCACATGAGATGTTAAGGAGGGGGGTGTGCCTCTTGGAGGCATTTTGGGGCTTCCTGCGGGCTTTTGGAGGCCACTTGGGGCCACCTGGACTCCTTTTCGGGCAATACTGGCAGTCTTGGAGGGCATCTTCGGTCGCCTCGGGGGCCATGCAGGGCCGACCTGGCAGTCTTCGACGGCATGCTGGCCGTCCTGGAGGCCACCTTGGACCATCTTAGCATGCTCGAATGCAATATATTACGTGTCTTCGGCCATCTTGGAGGCAATCTGATCCGTCCAGGAGACCATGTTGGCCGTCGTGGAGGCCATCCCCAGCGTAGCCCACCCAGCCATGGTTATGTTAATGCACTCGTACATACCCAGCTGCATGCGGCAACTCCCGCCACCGCGGTGATGATGATGATGGTGGTGCTGCTGATGATAATGGTGATGATGATGATGATGATGCTGATGCTGATGTTGACGATGGCGATGATGATGATGCTGATGACGACGATGATTATGA